TAAATGACCTACCAGAGTCTGTAAATTCATTCATGAATATGTTTGCAGATGATGCAAGAGATTGTGAAGAAAGTAAAAAAACGAGAACAATGGTAGAGAACTTCAGGAGGATCTAAATAATCTGCATGAGTGGTCAGAAAAGTGGCTAATGAAATTCAATACTTAAAAATGTAAGGTAATGAGAATGGGTACAAGTGCAAGAAGGCCCAAGCTTGACTACTCGGTGGCTGGAGTACAACTTCAAGAGACAGAAAATGAGAGAGATCTAGGAGTAAACATACTGGCAGATTTGTCTCCAGAAATACATATAAATGGCATAGTAAGGGCAGCATATGCATTCTTATCAAATGTAAGGGTAGCCTTCAGGCACATGGACAAGGAAATGTTCAGAAATATGTAACCTATGTGAGGCCAAAACTCGAATATGCAGCCCCCTTTTGGAATCCGCACTTGAAAAGGCACATAGCTAAGCTTGAAAAAGTTTCAAAGACATGCCACGAAACTGTGTGCCAGAAATACGCAATCTCAGTTATGATGAGAGGCTGAGGGAATTAGACTTACCATCACTCGAAGCTAGAAGAGTGAGGGGGGATATGGGTGACAGTCTGTAAATTCCTTCATGGTGTATGATAGAGTGGATAGGGATCCGATATTTTGATATGGCTGGCTCTAGAACTAGAGGTCATAGTTTGAAGCTTGGTAAGAAAACTTGTTTGCAGGATGTAAGGAAATACTTTTTCAGTGTAAGAGTAGTTGATAATTGGAATTCGCTAAGCGGAGGAGGTAGTTAATGCTATCTCAATCCATAGTTTGAAGGACAGGTATGATAAGTATCACAAAGTCTAAAATGGAACCGATCAGGAGACGGGAAGATACGAGCTTTGGGCTCTTTCCCGTAAACACAATTAGGTAATCACAATTAGGTAATCACAACACACGGTGTGTGAGGTACTAGTCTTGAAATATCTTGAAAAACATAGAGCTACCACTGCTTGAAGCTAAAGAAAAGAGGAGTGTGCCAATAAACTATTAATTCTTATGTGATGTTGATAAAGTAAGCAATGAGATATACCTATCATGGTAGCGTACCACTAGAAATACAGGACATAATTTGAAACATTGTAAGAAATCTTGAATCATCTGGAGAAAATGCAACTAAGGCTATCAAAAGGTACGCCTCATCGTTAAACTAACCTAGCCAAACCTAACCTAACCTAATATTATAACGTTAACCTCCCCCCATGCTACTTCCCCCCCAGACTCCCCTTATCCATTGATTATAACTTATGTTTTCGCCAGTTCATCTATTTGAGGTTCGTTTACTTAAGTTGATCGGACATGTTTTCTGTTTAGGAGCAGTTGATAAATAGAATTTACAGAGCAGTGCCTAGCCATGTTTGGGAAACCGGACATACATATCTTGAACAAAAATTACAAGAAATATCAGTAACATCGTGTACATTTATATCCGAACAATAATCACAAAAAAAAAAAAAAATGAGCTAGACATATTATTGGACTATTGGTAGCTCTCTCTCTCTCTCTCTCTCTCTCTCTCTCTCTCTCTCTCTCTCTCCTCTCTCTCTCTCTCTCTCTCTCTCTCTCTCTCTCTCTCTCTCTCTCTCTCTCTCTCTCTCTCTCTCTCTCATTCTGGTTGTTTAGTCACTAAGATATCACTTTCCGAAAATGAATTGTAAAAAGTAGGCTCAAAAAATATAAATGGACTTGTTGAGAGGAGCCTGTAATAGGCCTTTACATTCAGGAGAATGAAAGGTATGTAAGTCACCCGTCCCCCGAGGTAGGGACCCAGATAAAATCAGGGAAACCTGTGGTCTGGAATTGTAGATTGTCGAGGTTGAAACTTGTGAACCTATCTAGAATGAGATAGAAAATTTATATTTTACTTTTTTATTTTTTTTATTTTTTTTTATATTTGTGTGTGTGTGTGTGTGTGTGTGTGTGTGTGTGTGTGTGTGTGTGTGTGTGTGTGTGTGTGTGTGTGTTTAGTCGTCTGCCTGTTGGGGAGTTAGAATAAAGTGTGATCCATTTTGTGAGTGGGGTGTCCACAATCGTAACAGAAGTTAGATTATAGATGTAAACATACCCTGAACTCTCTCTCTCTCTCTCTCTCCTCTCTCTCTCTCTCTCTCTCTCTCTCTCTCTCTCTCTCTCTCTCTCTCTCTCTCTCTCTCTCTCTCTCTCTCTCTCTCTCCTCTCTCCTCTCTCTCTCTCTCTCTCTCTTGTAAAAATATATACCAGGTATATATAGGGCTACTCCACGTACATAAAATCCGGAGCCCTGAAATAAATCAAGCAGCCAGGATAGGTCTAGCACGTCTCTGATGGATAACTTTCGCTCAGGATTCTTGTAAAAAAAGTATATCAAGGTAGAATTCTATCTCAACCATTTCAAGGGATATCACATTTAGTCGCCTCCTACGACATACAGTTTTGACTCGTAATTACATAAGCATATGATTGAAATAAATAACCCGCGTACGGTGTGGAAAAAGTATATGCGGATAGAATTCTATGTCAACCATCTCATAGGTTATCACATTTAATCGCCTCCTACGACTTAGAGTTCACTCTCGTGATTATATTAGCATATGAATGCATCCTTGCCAGCCTACCTTGTGGGCGACTCAAGCAGGGTGGAAAGGGAGGGGTGTGTGGAACCCTTTATCCCCAGGAGCCGAGAAGAGTGGTTGAGATATGTGTGGATCGTGGTGAATGCGTGTTTCTTTGCTGGGCCACCCCCCTTACAAGGGGGAATGAGGCCAGGTATATGTATGCATGTATGTATGTATGAAGGAAATAAATAACCCGGTTATATATGTGTGATAAATGTGAGATGATAGCGCCCTCTTGCGCGGACATCGTCCCTTTGGAATCAATCAGTTACCAAGTGTTCATTTCGATCAAAGGGGACAGAGATTTTCAATAGGAAGTGTGTGTGTGTGTATTTGTATGTGTGTGTGTGTGTGTGTGTGTGTGTGTGTGCAGGTGTTTTGATGACAAAAATAAATGGGCCATCTACTCTGATTATAGGATATTTGTGAAAAGATATGGGTTTTCTTCTTCTTCTTCTTCTTCTTCTTCTTACTACTACTACTACTACTACTACTACTACTACTACTACTACTACTACTACTACTATTCTCATATTTAGTTAATGTATGATTAAACAAATAATAATAATAATAATAATAATAATAATAATAATAATAATAATAATAATAATAATAATAATAATAATATTGTTGAAAAGCAATAATCGTAGCGAATATATAAAAAAAAACAATAATTTGGAAAGGGTTAGTAAATACTGCTATTTCTAAATACCTGTGCAATAATTCTATATATTTTTATGTTTACATTTTACGTGTGACATTCTAAATACAGTAATTATAGTAAATTTTAACTCAAATATCTGGTGATATTTTCCAATGGGAGATCTTAAGTTTGCCAGAAAGAATGCCAGATTTTATAATCTAAATAATAATTACAGATTTAATCCTGATTAAAAAAAAATTATGATAAAATCTAATGTGGTAAATTTATATTTAATGAGTGCCAGATTTATTTACAGATTTAATCCTGATTATGAAAAAAAGTTGATAATAAATTCTAATGTGGTAAATTTATAGCATTTATTGAGTGCCAGATTTATTTTACCGGCGCCATTCGCAGAAGTTAGGCATCTGTTTATTGACATATGTGGTGCTGTGACTCAGTGCCAAATGTCTGGCACTTGGGATAATTTCATTTTTTTTTAAGTCGCATAAATAAGAGAGAGGTGACGATTATATCCCTAGTAAATATGCACGGAATATAGAGACAAATATATATACTTTAAGATAAATATATTTTTTAATTAATATATTAGAAAGGATTTTACTTGTAAGCTCACTTTAAATTCTGAAATAAAAATATAAAATGCTACAGAATCTTGGATTCAGTTTAATTCTGAGTTAGGGCCTCGTTGCACCACCAGAACACATGAACTAAGAGAGGCCTGTTGGAGGTCTCCCTGTAGCTTTGGTTTTTGGTGAATACCTCAGTAATCGCACCACTTTTATCAAGCGCAGTCCAAGATGGTCACATCAAAAAGTGACATGTCAATAAGTGTGAAGTGAGGATTATATATTGGTCCTGTTAACATGTAGGACATGTCTAGTCATTGCCTTGACTACAAAAATGTTAAGATTTATTTTAGGTAATAATCTCTTATATTTCACAAACAAAGTGTTTTCTTATATGTTAAGTTTATAATGTTAATTACGGGGTATTCGGATTTATTCATATATAAAGTACTTCTTGAGGTTTCTCTATTCTTACGAGATGTCTTTGCGGTGCTCTGTTACTTAAGCGCTTGACTCTCTTGCTCCCTTAGAGAATGACTGTGTATACTAGGAGAATGTCTTCATATATTCTCACGAATAGTATTTAAAATGATTTAACAGATTACTGAAAAAAATAATCCTAGTGGCCGCCTTGGCGGAGTGGTAACCCCCGCGACTTTGATTCGTCAGGTCGTGGGTTCGAGGGCCCCCATGTTCTGAGGTGAGAAAGAGTATTTGCTCAGGATAACAGTCACACTTGCTAAAACCAAAAGTCCTTCGCAAGAAGGCACCGTTCTAGCCCTTAGTAGAAAAATTAACTCGTGATGTAAAGCCACTGAAATTAATCCTTACCTAATTAAAGAGAGAAAAAGAATATGGAAACGCATGCATGTTGAGTGTTCAAACGTGACAGGTTTATTTAGTTCAATTCCAAACAAGTTGACTTTAATGTTACACCAGTTTTATTTAGATCAATCCCGAAATTGACCATTGGAAAACCAATTGATCTTGGTGATAGAAGTCCAAGCATCGAAGGCCTTAAACTGCATTTTTTTTTCTGTGTTTAGTTTGTATCATTGATAGAGAGATAAGAACTTATCAAAACTTTCTTATACTCTGTAAGAGAAACAACCTCTTCCCCAGAGATTTATATCAATACTCATTTGCATCCTGTATGAGAGGAGGTTCTTTTGCTACAAAGGAATTTCAGTATTTGCGTGGCCACTTTGATAAGAGACATGCCTCTATTTTATATGTGTCGTCTGTAGGTATTGATGCACGTATACCAACAAAAGCATATATCGTAGTATGAAGATCATGATCAACCTTTTGGATGCAGCATAGTTTTTCTTTAAAAATTCATGCATATAGCCATTTTTCTTTATGCCAGTATAGAATGTTTGAAACTGTGTTTATCAAAAACTTTTTGATTCATATCTTTATTATTCTCAGATTTATGTATATGATGTAGTCCTGATTGTGTATCTTCTTCTTTTCTGTAGGGCCAGACTGGACTGGGAATCATGATCATCGAAGGTAAACATGCTGAGTATGGCCAGGGAATTTTTATCTCGGATTTACAAGAAGGTTCGGTAGCTGCTGAGGTAAGGCCCTTTCTACCAATTCTCAAATATCTTGATATGTCTGTGGTGATTTTCAAATGTCAAGTTTATAACTGTTTAAAATTAATGTTGACATCATTGCAGACAAGTATGATAATGCTCTAACTTGCCATGAGACAAATATAGTATTTTCATCATAAAATCAACATAGAAGATGTTCACATGAATATCTTTCTTATATTTATTTTGATCTTACCCTTTGTATGCTTCTGATATGAAATTTGTTTTCTCTTATTATAAAGCTCTTGATAGAACTGAAAGTCATTGTGAAAGTATGACTTAATCCTGATAATAATCAGAAATGTAATAAAGTACCTTTATTTTGATGAAAGTTTTTAAGTAATTTAGCAATTCATACAACTGTCTATTAATAACCCCTTGAGCTGAGAGGAGTGGTAGAGGTGTGTGCGGATCGTGGTGAATGCGCATTTCTTGGCTGGGCCACCCCCCTTACAAGGGGGAATGAGGCATGTGTATATGTATATATATGTATGTAATATATAGAATAATTGAGAAATTGGTGTCTGTATGTATTAAGTATAATATAGAATAACGTTTAATTGTTAGAATTGAGAAACAGATGCACATTTGTTTGTTATGGATTAGTTACATGAAGTTGACTGGGTTAAGTTTGTTATATCACCTTTCAGGCTGGTTTACTCGTTGGTGACATGGTACTGTGTGTCAACAAAGAAGAAATGGTGGGTATTGATTATGATCAAGCGACCAACATCCTGAAAAAGACTGAAGGTGTTATCAATATGTGGGTAGCCAATGCCGCTAGAGCGGGTGATGGTAAGGGTGGTGGCCTCCCTGGCAAGGGAAAGAAACCAGGTACAGTATCCTTAATTATTGTTCTTCTTTTTTTTTTGTAATTTGGAGATACTGGTTTCCCACTTTTGTCGTAGCTTTATGGGATGCAGACATCTATTTTCTTATTTTGTGCCGAGAATTCTCCTTAAATCAGGTTTTTTTTTTTTTTTTGTGTTGAAGAAGGAAAAAATTATAATGAATTTTAACTCCTAATATATATGACAAGATTTTACATAACTTTGGATGTGTTATATATAGCATAATTGATTATGAAGTACTATTGCTATTGAAGTAACGGTATTTGAATTTAGTTTTAAAAGAATATCGCCCAAAATAGTAGAAATAATTATTTCGTGGAAGGAACAGCATTGCTCTATCACTGCATCACTAAGATGCAGAAGATTAGCATTATATTTGTTGAAGATTCCAATTGTATGATCTCTCTACATTTCTGTCCATGGAATGTTTCTGGAATCGAGGTCTTTTTTCTTACAATATATTTCCACGTGTGATTTATGTTTTCTTTTATTTTTATTTATATTTCTGTGTTCTGACAGTTGAAATAATTATTCATGACGTTAGAAATAAACGAAAGACAAGATATCTATGTCTATGAACTGGGCTTTGTGTCATTGTAAATTCATAGTCTCTTCTCCAGTTTAGAGCTTTGCAGAAAAATAATTTTATGTGTTATGTTAGCATGAAATGATGTTAAAATGCAATATGTGTTATGTTCATAGACTGTCTGAGAATAAATGGCTGTGTCTATGGTTAGACTACAATGTCTTCAGTAGTATTTTTGAGCCAAATCTTCTTTTAACAAATTGCTGGGTTTAAGCTCAGTAATACCTCTTGCAATTATGAATATTATTAATTTCCAATGTGACAGTAGAAGTGTTGTGTGCTCGTATGTGTGTATGTATGTATGTATGTGTGTGTGCTTACAATGGTGGTTGGGGTCTACTAACACGGTGTTGTGCCCTCCTCACTCTTTTTACTGTGCTTTTGGCCGTGTGGCACACTGCTGATGCTGCTACTCCGTGAATCCCGGGCTCTGGTGTGCATGGCATTGTGTGAGTATGACACGTCTCATCACGTTACTCCCATTCTTGTATCTTGATTTTATATTCCCTTTTTCGTACTGCGGTAATGCTCTCTGTGATTATTTTTCACAAGTAATTGTTGATTGGATACTAGCAACCCTTTTATTATCTCCAAGTGTTTTGTGCAATTTGCATATGGATCGTCATTCCACTTCCTATCCTGTACTGATTAACTAGGGCGCTTGTTTGCCACTTGCTTTCAGTTAAATTTGGATGATTGTGTGTAGTTTTTATGCTTAATGAAGTGAATTGTAGTATTTTACTCTGATCCTAATATTTGTACCCAACCTTGTGGCATGTTAAATGAGTATTTCATACAAATACAGTCCTACGCAGTCTAGAGCTCATCAAATTAAGCACACCTAAAATCTCTGTACATTTTGAAAGATGCTCATGTGAATCAGGTGAGAGGTTCAGAGTTTTTTTTTTTTCAGAAAAACAATGTTACATTAAGTTTACAGTTTCTGTTAGCCTTAGGTATTATAGATATAGCTAATATAAATCAGTAACAATCACTCATGTAGTCTACAATCAACTCCAAGCAGGTGTATCTTTGTCTTGGCAAATCTTTAGGCATTGTAAGGCAACACTTTATAAGCTGGCATTAAGGACTTAATATTTTATATCTCTACTAATCGCTCTGAATTATTCTACTTATGTCCAGCTTGCATGTTGTCATATACCTGGAAATTTTTCATCCTTTGTTTCCATAGGTTATTATGAGCTAATTGATTTAAGTTATGCAAAATGATCTGTATGCATAGCTGATGCTTTAAAAGGAATATCACTGCTGTATAGTAAATATTGTAATATCATAATAATATCTTATTTGAGATAGTCTTTCTTGACAGCATCCATGTATATACTGATTTTTGAAACCCTCCAAATTTGCTGTCTGTAAACTTCATATAACCACTTATGCCCACTTTGTTGCACTGTATATTTTATATATATAATCCAGATATAGTATTAGACGGCTCTTTAGCTGTTATGCTAGAATATTTGACTATATTTGTGAAGTCAATACTCTTAATTCTAGCTGTTATAGGCACAATGTATTGGTAATATAGGATTTTTGCTTTTAGTAAGTGTTTCTTAGGTTTTAGAGCTTCCTTGGCCAGTAATGCTAATCTGTGTTCCTTATAAAATGTTGGATGAGATTTTATTTCTTTTGCATTTGAATCTCATATTGCATGTTGGATAAACGTTGGTAATATAATAATGTTTTAATTGATTTTTCATTTGATTTGTATTATATCCTGCTTTGTTTTACATTAACTACTCTATGTGTCATTTTTTTACCTGAGATGTATCAGTTTGTTTAATACTTAGTTTGTGCAATACTATTGTCTGAAGTCCCAAATAGGTACTCATTTGTTTCTTGGAAAAGAGTTTGAGATTTGAAAATAACTGACTTTAAAATATTCAGTGCTAAAATGTTTGACAAACTGCCTCACCTACGTACGAGTCGGATTAATTTTTCCAGTACATACTCAATATTGTATTGTACAATACAGTATTCTGTTGTAGATAGATTGTTACTTACCAGAAAAGTTGTTTATCACTTCATCTAAAACTATCTTTGATATAGAAGTTCTTCAGGGTTCACTTGCATTATTTTGTTTCTTCAAGGAAGTATAAAGTGCTGACTTAAAAGCTCATCATTGTTAACATATGCATTGAAGAGTAGCAATTAAAAAAAATGTAGAAAAATATAGAAAATAAATAATAGAATAATTACACACATTCACACTCAAAGAAGCTGCAGAAAAAGCAATGAAGACTACATTTAAAGTAAATCCAATGTGTAGTTTGTTAATGAGAAGGATATTGAAATGCCTTACTGTATATGAAAAACATGAGGCAATTAAGCTTGCATAGTAACATGGCCGAGGGAGATTCATATGCTACTTTATAACCGTGCGAAAACTTACCCAATACTTGCCAACTTATACCTTCATGTTTAAAGACTTTCTCAAATAATGATAAGTTTTTTAATTATATATAAAGCGTTTATTGTAGCACTGTACATTTTGAGTTTGTGTATGAACTGTCCAAAGAAGTTACTATGCAACTTTTTGTAGAAATATTTATTGTTGCTGATCTACTTAGATTGAAGTGTCTCAGAGGTAACATCGATTTTGAGTTTATTTTGAAATCAGACAGTTTATGGTCTGTGTTTTATTACA